ATTTATATCACATAGAAACTTGAAAAGATTGTAGGTAGAGAACATTTTGTTCCAAAAATATTCGATTCTGTTGACCGAACATTTCAAAAACGAAGCAAGGAAAAGAACTAATCTTTTATCAATGGATAGTTCTTGAAGTTTACTACGAAAAAAGTGCTTAGCATTTTTCAATCCAACGCTTTCTTTATTTTCTACAAATGGTCACTCCAGTAATCAAAAGAGGATAAAGGATTAAGACCATGGAATTCATTTTAAAAATTGCAGTATCTCCACAGCAATAAACTAAGGATACAGACTCTTTTCAGATTATTCATAGGTCATAGTCTCAACTCAACGTTTAAAAGGAGATCTTAGTAAGCCAAACAAAACGTAAGAGAATTTGTGTCCATGAATCTATGAAGCCAATTTATAATCATTTATAATGAATTTTCAAGACAGCTTTAGACATTTTCCGAAATATCAAGTAATGACATTTCAATCTGTAACTTCGTCCATAAACAGATTGAATTACTAGCAGAATATTGTGCAAGTTTCAGTCAAAAAAAAATGTTCTTCTGTCAAGACATTGAATTTTCAAAAAAATAGTTTACTTAAAAATTCAATCTCTCGACAAAGAAACATTCTTTTCAGTTGAATTTCCATGTGATTATAATCTCTAAGACTTTCTTATCATTTTAAAAAGACAATTATCTACTTCCATTTTCTAATCAACATAATATTAGTATACAAAAATAAAATCTATACCCACAAACTTCTCTTATATTTTTAGTCTGTTTTATGGATATTTAAGTTTACGTGAACATGATGCTTTTCTTGATGAAAAAGATGATTTAGCATTGATGAGTAAGTATTCAATTATAAAAATTTTAATTCTAAAAAAACAAAAAATTTTATTTTTATCTTAACAAAAAAAAAACAAAGGTCTTCTACTTAGCTTTCCACTTGATGATTTTGCTAGTACATTAGAACGTGAAGCATGTGAAGCTCGATCATTATTAAATCGTTTAGCTGATATGCTTGCACAAGATGCAATAAAAGATTTACAACGAAATGGTTTACAAGAACCAAATGTTTCACAAGATAATGATGATAAACAATCAAGTCTTGTTAAATCACAAAATTTATTAAAACAATTTGGTCTTATATCAGGTTGATATTCAAAAATTAAAACAAAAATAATATCAACAGTATCACATATCCAAAATTTTGAAGATGCATCCACGTCTAGCGCGGAAGAAGCGGCATTTACTGCAAGAGATGTGGGCGCATCTCCTGCGAGATATGTGGGCGCATCTCCTGCGAGAGATGTGGGCGCACCTCCTGCGAGAGATGTGGGCGCACCTCCTGCGAGAGATGTGGGCGCATCTCCTGCAAGAGATGTGGGCGCGTCTCCTGCGGGAGATGTGGGCGCGTCTCCTGCGGGAGATGTGGGCGCGTCTCCTGCGAGAGATGTGGGCGCACCTCCTGCGAGAGATGTGGGCGCGTCTCCTGCGGGAGATGTGGCCGCATCTTCTGCGAGAGATGTGGGCGCATCTCCAAAATATTGGATATGTGACACTACTCAAATAATATATATATATATATTTATTTGAATATCTTTTATTTTTCTCTCTTTTAAAGATAATCGTCCAATATTTGTTCAAGTACAAGAACGTCATTCAACTTCACCTATATGTTTTAATCTTTCAACTAGTTTATATTCTTCGCCTATAGATATTGTTGCAAATGTAATCTTATCAAAATTATCTGCTAGTAATCCAACAATGATAAATGAAGAACGGATGAAAATTGTTAAAGAATATAAAACACGTTATTGGTTACAAGCATTTGGATGTGAAGAAAGACTTTTTGGTACTAAGCCATTAATACAATCACGTGTAAGATTATTTATAGATCTTTTTTTATTTTTTTGTGACATAGAAAAATTAATTACAAAAATTTAGTATGTTCAAACATGTCTTCGTCTTGATAAACCATTATATTTTAAATTAATTAATATTGAAAGTGCAATTGGTAATGGTAAAAAACGATGTATGGTTATGATTCATGAAGCTATTAAACAAGAAGAAGAACGAAAAAAACCACAAAGTAAATCTTTTTTTTTTTTGTAAATATTTAACAATTCATTTTCATTAAAGAATTTGGTGGACGAAGTAATGAAGTTCGTCAAGTATGGAATGAAAAAGATATAGCATGCAGATATTTTTCTTTACGTATTTTATCTGGTCAATTAATTCCAGCTGGTGAATTTGATGAAGTAAATTATTTTTTTTGCGTTCATCAATATAAAATTTTGTAAATTTTAAGGTTAAAATTATAATTGGTTTATATCATGGTACACAACCATTATTTTCTGGATCAATTATGGAAAGTCGTTCAGTTGATACATTAAATCCTGATTGGCAACAAGAAATTAAATTTGATATAACATTAGTTAATTTACCACCAGCTAGTAAATTATGTTGTTCTATACATTTTCATCGACGACGAACATCAATATTAAATTCTGTAAGAATTTTCTTTTTTTTTTTGTTTTTTATTATAAATTAAAATAAACAAATGTAAAAGATTTATATATGTGTGTATGTAATTTTTAGGATGAATGGATCTGTATTGGATGGGCGAATCTCAATGTATTTAATCATAATAGTTGTCTTATACAAGGAAGACAAAAAGTACGATTTTGGCCAACAGAAATGAATAATAATAAAATAATTTCATCAATGTATGGTTTTAATGAAAGAGCTTTAGCAGGTTTGTTAGAATTAATTTTAATTATTTCAAAAATTCTTTAAAATTTTCATCTTAAATCAAATGTTCAAAAACTCAATATATAGTATTACTTAAGTTTTATAATCTTTACAGTTTGAGAAAATAAAAAAAAAAAGATTTTAAAACGATGAAATTTCATTATTTTTTTGTTTTGGATTGAATATTCAATACAAATGATTGTTTTATTCATGAATTTTCTTTATTTTTTTTCTATTAGGTATTAATCCGGATCGATCTTATCCAACAATTGAATTAGAATTTCCTAGTTATAAATATCAGATAGCAACATTATCACCACGTAATGGTTTAGCTATGCAAGCACAAACAAAAAATGAACAATTATTACGTTCATGTGCATTTCAAGATGATGTAGGATTAATTAAATAATGTAAAAAAAAAATGATTTTATTAATATTTTTTTTTCTTTTAGTTAGAAGAAACTGGAGAAAATATTATTCAATCTGATTTTTATGATTGGCTTCGTTCAATTGAATTTGAATTAACTGAACAAAGTCGAGTTGAACTTTGGGATAGACGGTAGAATTTTCTTTTTTTTAAATATGTATAAATATGAATTTTATTTTCATAGTTATGAATGTATGCGTGTACCAGAATCATTACCACGTTGGCTTAAATGTGTTAAATGGTCAAATCGTGATGATGTTCTTGAAGTACAAAAAAATAAAATAAAAATAAAAATTCATAAACGAAATTATTTATTTTATTAATAGGCTTATAAAATTATTGAAAATTGGCCAACAAAAAATATAGATCCATTAATGACAGCACTTGAATTATTAGATGTTGATTATCCTGATCCATTTGTTCGATTTTCAGCTGTTCGTCTACTTGATACACGTATTGATGATGATCGACTTCTACCGGTTATATTACAAATTGTACAAGTAAGTAAAAATCAAGTTTAAAATTTTTAAATAATTTGAATTTCTATCTCTTATTTTAAACATTATGAATATTTTTTTATTATGCATAACAAATAATATTAAAAAAAATTTCTATTTAGTTTTTTTTGTAAGGATTTTTATATTGCTACAGAAGTCTACTTTTATTGGGTACTTGACTTTATTTTTCATGCGTTCTGTCATGAGTCATTTTCTAACATATGTTACACAAACAATGAGATTTTTTTTGTAATTATGTCTATGACATATATTCTTGGATTTTTCCCCATAAGTCATTTCTTTTTTCTTCACTATATTTATATTATAATTTATTGTTCATTTTGATTAATCTAATTCACTTTTTTCTAGCATTCAATGATGTTGTTATGTAGAATAAAAATATTCATAATTTTTGACGAAAGAAATAAGAATTGAAAGTTTAAAATATTGTAAATAAAATTGATATAAACTCTAGTACACTTTTGTTTCTTTTTAGGCTGTTAAAAATGAACCATATCATGATAGTGCTTTAGCAAGATTTTTACTTCGACGTTCATTATTAAATCAACAAGTTGGACATTATTTCTATTGGCATTCAAGGTAATTTTATTATTAACTAAATTTAATTCGAAACAAAAAAATAACAAAGAATAACATTTTTAGAGCCGAATTAAAAAATCCACAATATAAAGTACGATATGGTCTTTTATTAGAAGCATATTTACGTTATTGTGGTGAATATGTTGAAGATCTTGGACGACAAGTACGATCTGTAGATAAATTAATATATATTGCTGAAATAATACAAAATAGTACACATGATGAATTATATAATCAAGTTCGTTCTTCATAATAATTAATAATTGTATAAAAAGTCTTTTAAAATTTATTTAGAAAGGTTATCTTGCTCATGTACTTACAAGAGAAGGATATACTCAAAATCTTCAATATTTTCGATCACCTGTTGATTATAATATTGAACTTGGTCAACTTGTGTAAGATATTTTTTTTTTGAAAAGTATAATCTAAAAAAAAGAAGAGTATTGAATTATAGGAATTTAAATATAGCTGTTGTTTTTTTGGTTTTGTTATTAAAATAATGATGTTTTGTTTTATAGCTTAGATCATTGTCGAATAATGTCATCAGCTCGACGACCATTATGGTTACGTTGGACAAATGGTTCTGAATATGCTGAACATTATTTTCCAACATTTGATCTCATTTTTAAAAATGGAGATGGTAAAATTTTGAATATAAAAATGAATTTTTTTTGTTTTTTAATAAATAATATTTTAAATTTCTAGATCTTCGACAAGATATGTTAGCATTACAATTTATTCAAATGATTGATATTATTTGGAAAGCTGATGGACTTGATTTAAGGTTTGACTATATATATATATTTATTTATATTAAAAAAAAGCAACAAACAATTCTTATATTTGTTTTTAAGTCTTTTACCTTATGGATGTTTAGCTACTGATAATTGTTCGGGTTTAATTGAAGTTGTTAAAAATGCTAAAACAATAATGAATATACAAAAATTAGGTGGTTTAAAAGGACAATTTCAATTTGATGCTAGTGCACTTTATCGATGGATTGCAAAAAATAATCCTGGTGCTGACAAGTAAATTTTTATTTATTTAAAAGAAAAACAAAATCCCAAAAAAGATAAATTTTCTTTTTAAAAGATTAAAAAGTGCAATTGATTTATTTACAAGATCATGTGCTGGTTATTGTGTTATAACATATGTTCTTGGTGTTGCTGATCGTCATCCAGATAATATTATGGTTAATGAACGTGGTCAAGTATGTAAAAGATTTTGCTTTTTTTTCAAATTTGATATTTTAATTATATGTACATCTATATTTTTTTTAAAACTTTAGTTATTTCATATTGATTTTGGACATATATTGGGAAATTTTAAAATGAAATATGGTATACGTCGTGAACGTACACAATTAGTACTTATTGATGATTTTGTTCGAGTTATTATAAATAATAATAGTACAGAAAAAAATCCAATTGAAACACGTGAATTTAAAAAGTATGTTTTCTAACTTATTACATAATGAAATAAACTAGACATTCGATCGACTAGAATAGTCTCATACAATTAATGCTGTGTATAATATATATATATCACTCATGCGAAAAATTTTCGTAAAAGATGAAACCAGTCTACCGGTAACGCATGGTACATCGAGAAGTTACAGGAAGGAAAAAAAATAATAGTTAAGATATGAAGAATACGGTTTATCGCGTGACAAACTTGATTTGCGAAGTTGTATCACATGCTTGATGTAGAGATAAAACCAGTCTGAATTTTTGACAGCTAGTACTGATACTAGTCTGAAAAGGTTAGACAGGTTGGTCTACCGGTACCGATTCTATCTCTGACTCGAATCTTCATTTTGGAAAAGTTTTCAAGTCAAAGTAAGATTTTATCGAAAAATTGAGTCTACATCGAGAAATGCCAATATCTCGGTTGAATCTTAACATCAGTAGAAATCCTTTGGATGGTTTTTCTAATCTATTGGTTCCTGACGATCGGATTCAAAAACTATTCATCATCTTAGGATCCTTCTCTCGTAAATGATAAACTGTTTTTTGAGTTCGGACACTATGTATTAGGCAGAACTTCAGGTCGAAATATCACCATTCGATTTCTTGATGTATTAACTCGGACGGAAGAGCCTAAGGATACTCATGCTTTTCATATTTCACTGAATCCTATCTAATGCATAGAGTTCGAAGTCAATAACGATTTATCACTTGAAACAGTGCTTTATCCAGAGGGATGCCGGGGGAGGGGGGCACTCCCCAGAGACTTGCGATCATCGCGCGACGAACTATATGGCTTGCTCCTCCCCCCTCCCGCAAAAAAACTTTTCGCCCTCCTGGAATTTCCAATCGCCCCTCCGGAGAAAAAAACCTGAATAAAACACTGACTTGAAATGATTCCCCCATTGGCTAAATGGACTTAGTTGCGCCAGAATTCATAATAATTATGCCATGAACTAAATCATTGATTACTTTGAAAAAAATCTTTTTCTACCTAACAAGTCTTATACTTCTTTATATAATTGTAAACTAATCTTTTATCAATATTTTCTATTATATTTAGTTTTAAAAAATTATGTATCAAAGGTTATCGAATACTTCGTCGTCAATATCGTCAAATTGTTTGTTTATTTAAATTAATGATGAATTGTGATTTAACGGAACTTAATAGTGAAGCTGATATGGCTTATCTTCGACAAACATTTGCTATTGATATTGGAGCTAATGAACAAGAAGCATGTGATCGATTTGAACAAGTTTTACTTGAATCATATCGATCAAGTGTAAAAACACGTGTTGATTGGGTTTTTCATGCACTTAATCATATTAAATCATAAAAAAAAAACAATGGTCTGTAAATTCCATTTAAAAAAAAAACAAAATTAATATTAAAATAATTGCATTTTTATTCCTAAAAAAAAAAAAAATATTGTGCATTATACATCTTTTTTTTTTGTAAGTCATTTATTTTTGTATACATAAAAGTCTTCATTTAAAACAAAAAAAAAATCGATTCATAATGCAAAATAGAAAAACATATGTTTACATGGTGTTGTATATGAAGATTTTGTTTTTTTTTTTTTAATTAATATTAGTTTAATGTCGTGTAAAATCTATTGCTCAATAATAATTGTTTTAATTTTGATTGTTTATAAAGGAAAAAAACAAAACTTCACTTTTTCTTTGATGAACATATGGGCAATCTGATTATTTAGTTTCTTTTTTCCATATTGTACGATATAAAGTGGTAGATAAAAGTTTAAAACATCCTTATCTTTTTTTTTTTGATTCATCAAAGATCGCTTTTAATGGACATACAAATAATGATTTCAATATTTCTTGGAATTAAATGTAAGTTTAGTTTTTATGATGGAAATTATTGATTTTTGTATAGATTAAAAATGCAATTGAGTTTCAATCAGCATTTTTGTATTTATTGAAAATAAATAATTTGAATAAATTTTATAATTATGAACAAGAACCTATTTCTTTTTAACTATTCAAATGTTATTTTTTTTTAATGTATGATCTTCAAGCATTATTTGAGTATTTTTAAACTTAAACCTGGAAGCAAAAGAAAGTTTAGAAATGAAATAGATTTTCGATTATATTTCCTATACTTTTAAACTTTTTATCTCTACTTTATATCAGAATTTATTTGTAAAATTAAAATTTTTGTTTTCATCAATTGAATTGTTATTATTTTTTTTTTAATAAGATTAAATATTAAATGTATATTCTAGCATAAATGATTCATTTCTGTTGAAATATTTTTTTTAGATTGATTTAACTCTAAAATGTCAGTTTGTCAATATTATTTACGAGGTAATTGTCGATATGGAAATCGATGTCGATTACAACATACAAATGCCGGAGAATCACATACATTTAATCAACATAGTATATCGAAAAAATATTTATTTAAAATTTTTAAATATAATTTCATTTTATTTTTCAATTAGATGCATCATCATCATCATATCGATTTCGTTCACCTCGTCCATCATTCAATCCAAATTGCAATTATAGAATGCAATCTTCCGTAAGTTATAGTCCAACAACTCGACATGATTCAAACAAGACAAAATCTACTCTATGCTTATCAGGGTCATACTAATCATAATGTCGAAAATAGATATGCATCACAACAACAAAATTCAAAATATTCTCAAGTTTTATTATGGATTAATGAAAATTTTTCAAATAAAGATAAAGCATTAGATATATTGTAAGTAATGAATTAAATATTATAAAATATAATCTAAAAATCAAGTGTTGAAGTTTAGAAATAGAAATTTTCAATTCTCTTTTATATAAAATGTAATAGACTTCTTAGGAATAAATCATTAGAAATTATTCGTCTATAATTAATAACAATTTTTTTGCAGAGATTGTATTTCGTATAAAATTATCCTTTTTTTTTGGTTGAATAGAGGTGAATTACAAAGAGAAGCTCGAGAATGGCAAAAATCCATTGATTTATGGCGATTTACATCAAAATCATTATTTCCTGGTGGACAACCATTAGAAGGTAAAAACAAGAAAAATTTAATCATTTTCTATTGTAAAAATTTAGGTTGGCAGGATCAATCATTTGAAGAAATAAAATGGGCACATCGTTGGATGACTAATACAAATCAAGAACATATTTATGTTAGTAAAAATGAATTAATTTCAAAAATAAATATATGAATTATTTTTTTTTTGTTTTTTAGAAAAAACAATATTATAATTATTGGGAAAATACTGAACGTCAACTTCTTGGATTATCAAAACTTGATGTAGATACACTTAAAACACTTGTATGTATTAAATAATGTTTTGATTTTTTTTTTTTTGATAACTTTTATTTTAAATATTAGAAACCATATATTGATCAATATATAGCAAGTAATTATAAACCATCAAAAATATATGTAACAGATATTGAAATGAAAGATAATAATGATAATAAAAGTTCAACTATTCTATCTCAAACACAAACAATAACAAATTATACACCAGATGATCAACTTCTTGAAGAAGAACGTGCTGCTTTTGAAAGTGATACATTTGAATTTGGACAAATACCTACTCATGCACCTCCACAACAATTTTGCTAAAGTTTTTTTTTTTTGTTTTTGTTTAATAAAGAAAACAAAAAGTTGTTTTTTGTAAATTAATATAGAAATTTAAAATTTTTTTTGAATTATTAATTGACAAGATTTATTATTCAAAAGTATGATATAAATTAGATTGAACATAGAAGAATAATATAAAGGTTTGGATATAAAAATTATATAAAGAAATATATGTAGCCGAAATTGAATAGAAAGTTGTTTTGAATTGTCATATATATATACTGATATCATTTGCTTTGAATAATGATGAAAATAATTGTTAATTGCAAATCAAAATCAAGTATTTTATGTGCAAAAATGGAAATGAAATTCATATCATACAAAGGTTTCTGAAAAATTAAACATGATAGTGTTTCAAGTTCTAAACACTATTGATCTTCTTTGAAAAAGTTATAAGAATTACAAAGCGAAACTTATAATATTATTGAGTACTACATTTTTATATGATGTTTTGAAAACGATTTATATTTGATTTTGGAGATATCTTTCTCTCATAGTTCATCTATAAAACTTTTAGTATGGAAAATATTTAATAGAGTACTTCATTAACTATTCAATTCGAATTAAATATTTGTTATTTAAGCAAAAAAAAAATCATTGACAAACTTTTCTATTCGAATCAAGAACAGTCGAACTGGTGACTTTTTTCTTTTTTCATTGAAAGGAAATCAGATATGTATAAAATGTGTTCGACAAGAATTTCGTTTAAATATTATAAGTGATTTGTCTTCCGTTCTGTTCTCTTTTTTTGCTTGGCATTTTTTTGAGGCCGCCACCTAACTATTTGTCTTTCTGTTAAACCTGACTTGAGATTGTCGATAGTAAAGAATTGAAAGAAATATGAGTATTGATGACAAATTTTGTTGTTGTTTTTTTCTAAACTTACTGATTTCATTTAGTATGTTAGTATGTGTCTGAATAATTCATATTATTTGTTGACTTGATTATTTAGTATATTTCTAGATTTTATCCTGTGTTTTTTTTTGCAACAACAATTTTTTAATCAGGTACATGCAAGAAAACCTTGAATAAATATATCGTTTTATATTCAAGTCAGTAGTTTTTTTTTAGGAAAGCTTATAATGGGTAATTGTTGTGCTACGTCAACAAAACATAGGACGGAAGTAGTGTATACAAGGTATAAAATAACTATCGTTTGTTTCAACTTGTTTTTTTTTCGAATAAGATTAGATGTATTTGACATTCCCACATGCTCTAATATATCACTATTAGAAGTTGTTCGGAAGTCCATAGGTCCGCGAGACATCAAATTTATTCCATTTTTTCTTTTATATTTCCACACATTTTAAAATTGTGAGAATATTTCAATCTTTTTAGCATATAGATGTCACTCTGTGTGTACGTGTTTCCTTCACTCTCGTTTATCTATGTCTACACCCTGAATCCTACAACAACTAAAAGAAATGAAGGGTGAAGATATATGAAAGTCATTGTAACTTCTAAAGCATACAAATAAAACAGGATACATATAATTTCTCGTAGATACCTATTGAAAGTTGAAACAAACTATTTTCATATGGGCTTTTTTCATTCTAATCATATATAGCCTAATTTTAGTAACTTTATATATGTCATAGTGATTTTAAAGATGAAATTGATCCAAATGTAACCTACGTTCCTAATGAGCCTGATCTACTCGAACCTTTATTCACTAATCAGAATGATAATCAAATCATTGATCGTCT